GTTTATTAGTCAATCTATTTATATTATTCTCGCCATGACGTCTTATAGCGGAATCGATAATTTTCTCGGACTGTTAGTTCTCCATATATGTGGTCAGTTAGATATTCTGAAAAATCGTTTAACAAATTTGGATAAACATACGAATTCTCATGAAATACTAAAGAGTTGTATAATAAGACATCTGCGCTTACTTAGGTTTGATATATGATAATATAATCCATACAAAATAGATACTAGATCACTACTTAATTCATCATATATCTAATACGAACTGTCTTTTATAGAGCCATTAACATTATTGAAGATACGTATAACGTAATACTACTCTTTTTATTCATATATTTTGCGATACTCTTCGCTTTTTATGGTTTCCGGATAATTACTGTAAATATTTTTAGCTTATGTAACGTAATTTATTAAAGTAAATTAATTTTTAATTGTAAGAATATATTTAAAAGGTATATTAGACACTTCTATTATATATTTACATTATATTTTATCTTAAATTTTTAAATTAATAGGCCTGTTCTTTATAACTAAACTAGCTGCACTAGTCCACAGTTTATTTCTCTCATTCTACATTGAAAAAAAAAAAAATTCCGAATTAGTGTAGCCCATTCAACTATAAAGAACAGGCCCGATATTACTAATATGTCCTTTGTTTTATCTTATAAATTAATTAGCTATTTAACGAAGGAAATAATATTTCATTTCCTCATTTGATGTATTTTGCATCCACTGTAATTAATATATTTGCACATATGTGCCTTTATTGTGCTCTTGGCGAGATTTTGGTTGCCCAGGTTAGTTATATATTTTTCTTTTTTTGCTATAAAAGTCATGTTAATTTTATGTTGCATAATTACCTTATCAATTATTATATATGTATAATTTACACAAATAAGTATTTAATTTATAATCCATTGAATCTGATATTCGTCACATCCATCAAAAAATTGATATTAATAATATAAATCAATATTAATTTCTTTATTCATGCATGTATAATACAAAACTGTTGACGACATTATTTAATTTTCATTGGGTTAACTATCACTAAAATTTCAAATAAATTCTTATTAGAATTGAAAATACAGACTGATCCTGCACAGAATATATAAAAATACACAGAAATATAAAATAGTTATTACATAAGTCAAATTAGTATATTAAATGATCTGTAATAACTAGCTTTTATTCAATTACTATACAGCATATTAAATGATCTGTAATAACTAGCTTTTATTTAATTACTACACACAGTGTAATAATTTTCTAAACATTTTTAACTCTTTATTTACAGTGCAATAGAATATATTATGCAGCGTACAGTAATAAATGGTACACCATGAATGCAAAAGTAACTAAAAATTTGTTATTTTTAATGATAAGGGGCTCTAAACCGATCTATCTTACTGCTGGAAAAGTATTCCCTGTAACGATGGCAACATTTTGTAGTGTAAGTTGTCACAATGTTTGACTAATTATTGTATTAAAATTTACATATTTGACATAAAACTCTATAATATTTTTATATAACAATTATTTATATTAAAATACTTAAGTTTAATTAGATTTACAATATAAAATTTAAATCAGTTTTATTTTATCTTTGATTCACACATTCAATTTCAATATTAATTATGTTAAAAATTGTATTTTGCAGTTAATAAAAACATCGGTTGGCTATATATCCGTTTTACATACAATGAGAAGTTAACAACAAAGTGAAATAAAATTTAAATAAACTTTCTTTGATATTAAGCAACATTTTATAGAAAATAGGTTTATTGAAAAAAATAGTAGTAATAAGATCTACGTTAGTGTTAATATCTAATTTTAAATAAATTATTTTACTGCAAGATTGAAAATACGAATTTTATTAAATAACGGATAAAATTTAAATCTGAACTGTAATACACAAATACTAATCTTTATAAAATATAGGAGTTAATCGTGTTAATCATTTAATTTTAAATAAATAATTTATTGTAATTAATTGTTTTATCCATTTAAGAGACAATATAACGAGAAAGTTTCAAATTAGAATTATTCAATTTTTGAGAAAATATTTTAGAATTAGTACAATTTTTGCTTTAGGTGGAAATGTTTCTGCAATTGTGAGGTTACTTTTATTTTTATTTAACAGAAATATATGCATTTTTTAATAAATCAGTTTTTATGTATTATTTAGCCTGTAAAAATAGATATAGGATAAATATAATTAAAATAAATTGTTTGTGAAATATTTCATATTTTACATAATTGATGTAGTTAATTACATATAAAACGTGATACATTTTTTAAAGTATTTACTTTGAATAAACACTTCATATATACATGATAACCTATATACATATAGTATTTAAATACAGTGGATATATAATAAGATCTCTTTCTTGATGAACCTATTTACCTGTAAGTAATTAATGCAACAGTAATACACAATTTTATTAGTAATAAAAATTGTTTTGTGCATTATAATAATAATTATACGAAATTATGCATATTTGAAGATAACAAATATAAGCAGAATATAATGATAAAACAACACAAAATTAAGAGAATTGTCACGATAAGACATATTTTAAGAATACATACTCTTATATATTGTCGTTAGTTATTACAAAAATTCTTTTTAATTTCACCACATTGCTATTAGAAATGTGAAATAAACTTTCCATAAAAATATTAATTTATTAAATTATTATTTCTTTGTAATTATTTCAATAACTTCATATATTAATTTTTGCATTTTGAAGATTTTAATATAAGGACAAGTAATTGTATATACAAATTAATAAAAATATATTTAAGAAAAAATTAAGGTTATAAGAGCGTCATACGTAATAACTTCTTTATTGTCCATTACTAACTATAGTCATAAGCAAGAGGGGACTATAGAAGCGTGGAAAAAAACTGGTGTGCAGTTTACGCGTGCTGTTTTCGTCAAACATCGTATGTAATGTTTTATTCACACAAGTGTTCGCGTGATGATCAATGTGAGAAACTTAATGTGAATTGGAAACAAATGGAGAAATAGAACTTAAAGTACCTTGTTGCAAGTTGATCGTTCGATACTTTCGAGAAATAGTATTATAAGCATGCGCAAAAAGTGCTTTTTGCTGTACAGAAGGTAACGTCGATTCATGAAAAAGGATCAGTCGTCAGTCTTTAGATAACATTGGACATGGAAAGTTCGAAATACAACGGATGCCAAGGTGTTCATGATTTACGTTATTGTAATCGAATGTAAAAATAACCTTAAAAAGATCTTTTATTTTGCAATATGTGCAAGCAAACAGTGATATCAATTTACAATATTAAAAATGTTTTTTCTTTTTCAACAAAAACTTAACGATTTCTGGATTTTTTCATTATCTGAGTTATCTGGGTTATCGCTTTTGTAATGACTTTGATGTGTTTCTTATATATGTATCAAAAAATTATAACAGTATTAGCTATTTAATTACAGTAACTTGAAGTGAATAATATTTGTTATTTGTTATTTATTATTTGATAAATAATTGCACGATTAACCCAAAGTAAAATATTCAAAAATATTTTATTTTAAACTATTTCACACAGTTCGTTTGGTTTATTTATAGATATAATTGTGTTTAGAATTGTATAATGTGAAATACTTTATTGATAACTTTGGATTTATCAAGGTTTTTATAGGTAGATTTCGAATGGGCGGTGAAACTAAATCGTTTCACTTTAAATTTGCTTGGACTTTGGCCTGAAAACGTACAAAATCCTTGGCGAAAGTTGATGTGCAATTTTCGAGTGTTAGTAACATTTTTGGGATTAATCGGCGTTTTGACTCCCTCTATGCATTCTCTGATAAAAATTTTTGGAGACAATTTGTTAATGTTGGATAATTTACAATTTACTTTACCGATCTTGAGCAGCTTGATTCAAATTATAATTTTTTGGTGGAAGAAAGAAGGTATCACTTTTTTTATACATAGGTATGATAAATAACTTACATATCAATTGAAGTTTAATAGCTATTAATAATAGTATTAATGATAGTATTAATATAATAGTATTAATACCTTTAAATATATGTATATAGATTGCTCAATTTACTTAGAGCATAAAAAAATACGTATAAAGTTATTATTTTTAATAAAAAATAATAAAAGAATTATATAATATTTGTGCAATAATTCGTAGATTACAAAATTAATATTTTTATTGACTATATTTTTTAAACTTATAATATTGTTATTTTTTAGAATACAAAAACGTTCTTTCGATTTTGTCTTTTCAATTTTTATTATTTAACAATAAGATAAAATTTAACATATTTTAATTTAGCAACGCTGTAAGATATGCCATTGTTTACTTTTAAGCAATTGTACCAATTATAAACATGATCGCAAAGGATTGGTTAAAGTTAAAGAGCGATCAAGACAGAAGTATGATGATCCGAAGAGCGCAGATTGCACATACAATTTTTATTTACTCTTACTCCTTCATGGTATTCCCGTGTTTCTTCATCGCAGTACTGCCGGCTTTTGGAATATCAATGAGACTGACTCCCAACATTACGGATCCAGGAAGACCAATGCCTTTACAAACTCATTATATTTATGATATAACAAAAAGCCCGCAATATGAACTGACATTTGTTAGTCAAATCATCTGCATACTAATTGCCATGATGGCCTACGCTGGAATAGATAATTTTCTTAGTCTAT